CGGAGCCGCCGTTCCTCCAGGAGTCGTTAAGAGCTACGGCTACTGAGCGACCGAGCGGGAGGAAAACCGAGGCGCAGCAGCGTTAACAGTCAGCTCTGGGGGTTTCTGAGACGTCTTCGGCAGCCGCTTTTTTTCCCCTTTCCTCCCCCCATCCACCTCTTTCTGCTTTTGCACTGCTCCCGCGTGAGCAGGCCGTGGAGGGGTCGGGCGCCGCACAACGTCCTTGTTGCTTGAAGCTCGTGAAACTGGTGGAGTGAAGTTCTGAGAGCTCTTAAATAAACAGAAAACGCCAGGGTGGAAAAGGGAGGTATCGAGAAAACCAAAACAACAACAGCAACCAAAACCAAACCAAACGGAAGTAAAATAAAAGAACGAGAGAGAGAGAAAGAGAGAAAGAAACAGAAAGTGGCTGGTTGGCCATTTTGGAGCAAGATGTGAGACAGAAGTTGGGCCGTGCTGGAGCAGAGGCGAGACAGAAGTTGGGCCGCATCGGCGCAGAGGCGAGACAGAAGTTCGGCCGTATCGGAGCAGAGGTGAGACACGAGGTCGGCCACATTGGAGCAAGACATTTAAAACAAAAAGAGAGGGACACCTGGTGATCTCTCAAGGTGCCTCAAGAAGACAGTCCAAGGGAGGAGCACAAGGAAGAGAGAAGCCAGGCCCCAGGAGGCAGGAAAACAGTTGGATGGAGTTGGCAAGGAGGTTTAGAATGAAATGGATGAGTTCCTTGCCCCAAAGGAAGTCAATACAGGGATGGATGTTCTGCCAGATGTAGGTTTTTCTGAGGCTGCAGTGGAAGTCTCACTAGCCTCTTTAGATGTTCTAGCGGCCTAGAAAGAAAAGCAAGATTCAAGGAGGAGGAGGAGGAGGAAAAGGGGAGGAAAGTCAAACAGTTTCTTAAAAAAAGACCAAAAAAAGGAAAAAAAAAGAAAAAAAACCAGGAGTTTGTTCAGAAGCAGCATTGATTTAGGCCTGAGGTCAAGCAGCTGGAAAGGGTCCACCACAAACAGAGCACGAGATGAGCTGGTTCCACGAGTTACTGGATGGGAAGGGGACATCACCGAGAGGAGGAGGAGAGAGACAGAGAGAGAGAGAGACAGACGGACACACGGACAAACACGCACACACAGAGGCAGGCAGGCGTAGGGGAGAGGGGAGAAAGGCGGGGAGGGGGGACAAGAATCGCAATGTTAGACTGAGCATGCACGCTGCGCTACCCGGTGACTATCTCAGTTAGTGGTGGCATGGCAGGGCCAGGCAGGGTGTCGCGGGGAAGCCGGGGCTGCTGCAGAGGTGCTGTTTCTCAGAGACGAGCGGGCGCGGAGGCT